ATAGACTAGACTTTACATTTTTTAGGAACGCCACTGAGTTAATGAACGAAATCCAATTGCCGTGCAAGATGATAAAATAAGTTAATTTAATGCAGCAGTTTTTTGAATATTCAAGATAATATCAAGAGCCATTTAGCATGACTGGATTTATCGCAAAGAATGTGCTGAAAAGTGACAAATCTTACTTGGAATGATTATTAGTTAATAAAGTAATGCACAGACACTATAATTTAAACACCATGTTTTGTGTTCACAACATTATTGGTAGTGAATAATGAATGATTATCCACTTGAAGGCAGGAATCCTGTAATTCGTTAAACTTTTTATTTTTCCTTTTTTTTAAATAAATATGTTTGTTGCAACATATTGCTATTTACTTTGATATCTATTTTAATATATGTATTATTGTTTGGTATGTTTTGTTATTGTATAACAATGTCAATATAAGACTATTGTAATGCAAAATTTAAATACAAATAAATTATTTTTAAAATTGACAATTTTCTTTTATTTCTAATTTTGGCGCTTTAATTTGAATGCATTTGGAGCACGAGGCTGCCGAGCGACATGCGATTAAAGCGCCATCACCCAATATTGCGGTCGTGACTTTCCCTAGCTCTCTGAACGCAAATACCGCGAGAGAGAAACGTCTATATTAGTATATTGTCTAGGATATGATATAATGAATAATTTTTAGAGTTTTACACGAGTTGTTAGTATGAATTTATTTCTTCCTTTGGCTATCGTTTTTTGAATTTCGCGGTAATTTTGTTATGTTGGTAGTATTACATGGGTCACGTACATTAGATAACTATGGAGCTTTTTTGGTACTAATAATGATGAAATACTTTAAAAATATATTAACCACGATATTTAAACTTTATATTTTATAATATTATAATATAATATTTCTACTTTGTTTCGATATAATAAAATGTATTTTGACATCATTTGAAGTTGGCGCTCTTCGTCGGTATAGATTTTATGACTAACACACTTCATTCGCCGTCTTGCTTTTCTAGCAATGAATATGATGTGACAGTTTATATTGGGTTTTGTGTAGATAGTTGAGCTATTTCGAGACTTTGAGTGTGTTATAAATGAATTTGAGTGTAAAGTGGTAAGTTAAATAAATCAATTAATGATCTATTTGTGCAGCTTTTTTCATTCATATGTAAAAATAATAGACAAAGAATTTTACCAATACTAACTAGTCTTGCAACACATACATAACCTTACAAGCCCAATCTTCAAGTACATACAAACAAGTAAAAATTGCAAATTCCTTACTTTATATATTTTTTTGACGTAAATTTGGAATATTGACTGAATACTTCACAAAATTTATGTTGCAACTTGTACATTTATTACACATTAGTACACTTTTCATTAAATGCTCCATATATTGTAAACCAATTAAAATAGTAGGTTACTTAAAATTTCTTTGTTTATCATTATCAATCTTCAATACAATTTATATGTATAAATTTTAGACACAAATATTTGCTGTGAGTGATGCAAAAATGCAGATTATGTAGATTTGTTCATGCGACACCCACCTACTGCTTTTCTTATTTTTAACTTCTAATCAGTCCATTGTGTTACTGAATGAATTTCTTGCTATTATGTTATTTGAAGATTACTAATGCTTGCAGAAATATTATTAAAAAATCTATAATTAGAACTACAAGTCTGTTTTATAGTTGTTCATCATAATGCATGCTCAGGCACCGACTTAACTAAATATTTTACAAAATTTATGTTGCAACTTATACATTTACAACACTTTTCATTAAATGCTCCATATATTAAAAACTGTATCATTTATCATTATCAATATCAATATATTTTACGCATATAAATTTTAGAAACAGACATTTTGTGTGAATGATGTAAAAATGTAGATTAGCTCATGCAGCACCCACCTACTGTTCTTCATATTTTTAACTTCTAATTAATCTTCAATTTTAAAAACAAACATTTCTTATGAATGATGTAACAATGCATATTCTGTTGATTTGCTCATGCAACGGTCATTTACTATTCTTATTTTTAATTACTAATCAGTTCATTCAGTTACTGAATAAATTTCTTACTATAATTATATTTAAAGATTACTAAAGCTTGCAGTAATATAATTAAAAAATATATAATTAAAACTACAAGCCTGTTTTATAATTGTTTGTTATAATGCATACTTATACATCGACTAAACTAAATATTTCACAAAGTTTATATTGCAACTTCTACATTTACTACACTTTTCATTGAATGCTCCATATATTGAAAAATGTATCATTTATCATTATCAATATCAATATATTTTACACATATAAATTTTAGAAACAGACATTTTGTGTGAATGATGTAAAAATGCAAATTCTATAGATTGGCTCATGCAACGCCCATTCACTATTTTTATTTTTAACTATTAATCAGTCCATTGAGCTACTGAATAAATAATGATATTTGGATATTACTAATGTTTGCAGTAATATAAATAAAAAAATGTACATGAAAATACAATGTTTTATAATAGTGTCCCATAATCCTGCGTAGTCACCGACTAAACTAAATATTACACAGAAATTTATATTGCTACTTGTACATTTGCAACACTTTTTCTTAAATGTTCCATATATTGAAAACCAATTATAAATGTAGGTTACTTAAAATTTTCTCGGTTTTCATTATCAATCTTTAATACATTTTACACATATAAATTTTAGACACCAATATTTGCTTGGAATATTGTAAAATGCAGATTTTGAGGATTATTTCATGCATCACCTACTTAATGTTTTCCTTATTTTTTCTGAATAAATTTCTTACTGTAATCATATTTTGAAATTGCTAATGCTTGCAGTAATATAATTAAAAAATCTATACATAAAAGTACAATCCTGTTTTATAATTGTTTGTCATAATGCATGTTTTGATGCTGTTGTTTATTAAATAAAATTTCTGTTGTAATATACACAAGTGTTAAATTCCCACAGCGGTTTGTTTATTATTTTGATAGTTTTGTTTCATGGACTATAAAATGTTTAAAGCAATACAACATTCTATTTCAATTTGTTACAATACATTTAATAATATTAAATATTTAAAACATTCAAATATTAAATAATTTGTTACTGGATTCATAAATGTTGTAGTTTCATAAATAATGCAATTAATTTTGTATTTCTTATCGTTTTCAGATGTTTGAGAAGTTTCTAGTTATTGCAAAATGATCACCTGTAGATTTTTTACATGGCTGTTATGATTTTGATTTGGTAAGTTTATATTTTACAGTATTGTATAAGCGTTATACAATTGTAGCTCTGATCTTCCAGAAGAAATGACCTTCTGCTTTCATCTTGAAAACTTTAATGTATTCAATGCTTTTGTATTATTACCTTGTTTGTTAAAATGTATTGTGCTCAAATATAAGTTTCTTTTCTTTGTAATTACATTTTATTTCATTATGATTAAAAATATACACCGTAAGCTATGACCGTAAATAATCATCCTGGTATCAAAGTGGATTCGAATTATTATTTATAAAATAATGGCATTTCTTTACCTCATGAAGTGCATCCTATCTCAATGCATTCCTTTCCTAAATAATTCACAATATTTTAATGAAATATTTATATTTCGTTCATTTATTTGTATAAATGTTCATTTACTATTTTCTTGGATTGTGTTATATTATATAGTTAATTCTTCAACTGTTTTTTTTTAAATTTAGTTTTTTAGTGTCATTCTAATTATATTAAGGATGTCATTCTTTTTTGCACTGTACATTCTTTTCCATTCTTCTTAGAACCTTGAAACAAATCTTTGATACAAAAAGCTTTATCTCCACTCTAAAAGCCTTTTTTAATTTCCAATTTTCAATTGATACTGCTAATTGTTGCTGAAAAATTGACTCATCGAACACCACCAAAAACAACTCAAATATTTATTAAAGATTCTACATTTGGATAAATAAGTTGTTCTCTTTTTAGTAGTTTATTTCATAATAAACCAAATATACAAATACATTTTATTATTTTACATTATAATTATTTGAATATTTATTTATTACGCAATACATTTAGTTTAGTTTAAACATTCATTAAAAACTCTATTATTAAAACACATAAATGGCAGTTACATTTGTGCAATTGAGTTATTTTTGTCCATTGTAAGGAAAGTTAGTTTTATTTAACATGTAGGTTATACATAATTGAATAATTTATATATATACGAGTATATATATATATATATATATATATATATATGATTTAGTAGTTAATTTTGATGTTGAAATATATGAGTGAGTTCTTGAGGGCGATACATCAAACAAAGAATTTCTTTGTTTGATGTATCGCCCTCAAGAACTCACTCATATATATATATATATATATATATATATATATATATATATATATATATCTAGAGCACCTTACAATTTATAAAGCAACATTTAATTATTATCTTAAACTATAGCATTTTGGATATAAGTAATTTATTTCTTATCATTTTATAATCAATATTTTTTTTATATATTAACACAAGTTCTTGCAATAATACAAATATACATATATTATTATTAAAATTTTAAATGGATTTTCATGTAAATACGTCGTTAGAATTGCTTAATTAAAGCTGCTTTACATTAGTTACTAAGCTAAATATATGGAAGTTGCAGTTTTATCTTATAAACATATGTCACATATCTCAAAAATATGTTCGATTAGGTACTTTACATAGGCTTATTTTGGCATTTCCTTCAAATATCGAACAATAAATAAATAATTGGAAGTTACAACTTTTCGATGTGTGATGCTAATATTTTTTTGTAGAAAACAAAATTTAGTAATGTAAATCTGCAATGTTCCTGAAATTCTTTTTTCATACTCATATAATATATTAACTACATATATTAATTTATATAAATTTATATAACTTTAAATTAATTATACTTTGATATATATTCTTCCTAAGAAGGCATTTTCCAATCACAGTAATTATGTGTGTGCGTTCTTATTTAATTTTAGATTCTGTATTGAATTATGTTGTTTGAAAACTTCAATCAAAAAATATTCAGAGAAATATTGAGTTCTTTTTGATCCAACTCAAAAATGTTAATATTTTGTCTCCAAAAATACTTACAAAAAATATGGTCGTATTGAATATGATCCATGCTTATTCATATAAGTATTGTTATTAACTAGTTTACAAGATGCAGCATTTTTTCTTATTTTTATCCTTATAATTGGATTTAATTGGTATCTGTCTTTCTGATAATTGAAATCTTCTGACAATTCTAACTAGTTCATGGAAGGATTGGTCAACATTCATTCTCAATTTAGCGCTACATTCGATGTAAGGTATTTTTAATTGTCTTGACAGATTTTGCGCTTCTTCTACAGACACCTGGAGGAAAAAAAAATCAATAACTTTTCGATTTTTGCAACCCATGTGTACATAAATTATATAGGTATTTATTATTAATGTTAAAAAAATAGATATATTTTGATAATATTCAAAATTCAATTTCTCCGGAAAATTAGTATAAATCGGCCAGTTCTCAGGTAAAATCTGGAAACGTTCTTTTCTTGGTATTAAAAATTGTCATAATGCTATGCATTTGCTGTGCAGTCAGACGTTTTAGATATAAGCCCAACCTAGAAGACACACAATTGTCAAAAAAAAGAATATTATCGTAACATCTTCCTGATGTGCATTTATAACACATGCACGAAGTTTAGTTTTATGTGTAAAACGCCTGATTGCACAGCAAATACATAGAATTTTGGCAGTTTTCAGTACCAAGGGTACTAAGTAAGGAGCGTAACATAACGTTGCCATAACAACGCTATGTTATGGTCTATTTTACCGGAGAAT